TTGTGAACTCTGCTAAAGTCAAAAGTGGATAGAGTAACTTTTTCGGGTCCAGTTGAGTGCTATCTGTTCGAATGGCATTCGTTATTTTTGCACTCACTCTATGTCAATGTCGGAGTGCAAATGTACAATTTTGTAAGTGTCCTGTTTCTCGTGAATCCAAAACTTAAATGATCTTGAACTACGTATTGATTAGTTTTGTACAGTTATCTGATCGTTTTTTTTTCGAATTTAAGGCGCAATGCTGCAATGATCCGGTGCTTAGCCGGTTGACAATCCACTTGACTCTTCTAGAACTCTGCTATTGTAATTTGCTCTTCGTTTCCCATAATAACTCTTGTTAGTGCCCACAGATGTTTCTACTTTGTTCGATATTCTCTCAAAAAAATTAACACAGTCTTAAGTTATCCAAAGTGCACTGGAATCGTATGATCGAATCATGTAGTTGCACCTGATCATTATTAGCCGCTTGATTTTGCTTTATCTTCTTCTGGAACCACCAATGCATTATGAAATTGTTGATCGAATGTGTGAATAAGTCGCCTGTCAAATACTACTTGCAGAATTTCCTGTCATACCAACACTAGCAAAAATTTTGGCCTATATCATTTTTTGTGAATATTGGAGATAACCTAGCATATTGTGAACTTAAACGCAGTGCGGATGATATTCTGGTGTTCGACAATGGTACATACAATAAGAATTTACTGACTGCTCAGGTGTGCTGGATTTATCGGTAGTCTCCAGTGTCTCAGTTTGTTTAAAAGAGGTACAAACGCCAACCGTCGTTTATGTCGTTGCTAGGATAATCACTCCTTTTGCGATGGCTAGGGATTAACTAAATACACTCATTAGCAACTTGTGAAACTTACATAGAGTTTCAATCNCCTTCAAATCTAAAGCTGTGTGCGGGCATGATTTGAGAGGATAAGTCTCAAATACACCAAACGAGTGGCTTAATCATGCATCCACATAAGCACCACAATTATGAAATATAGCAATTATAACCAAATCGTTTCCAGGAAAACGAATGAATCGTACATCATTAAAGTGGTCAATGAGGTGAGCAGAGGAGTACACCAGGCGTTTCTGGTTAGTAGCGTCAAGCACGATATTCAATTGTGAACGAATTGTTGCGTTGTTTTTCAGTTTTCAGCTGCTGTATTTAAACTCTTGAACGGGTTAATGTAATACGCAACGAACACTCTACATGCAACATGTATGCAAATGAATACGAATTCGACAACTCTTAGGATGCAGCGTAAACACAGACAATTAGGCGAGTTTTACAGTATTTCGATTCATCGAATTCTCCACACGCTCCCACATTATTTGGATGTAATCTTTTCGAAAATGAACATAAATTATAGCCGAACAGTGCAAAGTGAACAACAGCATCGCGAAATGCGTCACAGGACATGAATTGATCATGACCNATGAAATTGTGAATGAAAAGTTAAGTGTCATTTTGCATTTGTTCAAATTTGGAAATGTGTTTTGATTCTACTCACTATCAATGTTTCACATCGAAACCGTGTAGAATTGCTCGTAATTTGTTTCGGTCGCAGCAAACAAATTCCATACTTATGAGCTTAACATAGTAATTTCCAATTGCTTCAACGTGTCTCCTTGTGGTCGATCCATTCACATGCTGTCCAATGGATCAGTCACATTCGAACGCTGTTTGTGATTTCCTAATCAAATCTTAGGTGATCAACTCAACACTCAATCGAGATGCGTAGAAGCTTGAAGCGAAAGTTAACCATTCATAAATGCACCATTTTCAGGCGGAAACTGCAATTGTATGTTCAGAATTACTCTTGTCAGTACCCTCACATAATGATCGCAATAATATTTCATCATTTTTTGATAATCAATTCCTCTTTTTTTTCATATTTTGCGTTGAACTGTTGATTTCATTTTTATGACTTCAGTGAATCACTCACTCCATGCTTCAAGCCGATGCAATTGCTTAATCTGAAATCCTAATTAGCATTGGGCTTCTATATGATCTTATGCAATATTGTCGATCACAGTTCGTCATTTCGAATGAAATACGTTGGTTGCGTTCGCCAGGTTGAAAATATTGTTTCGAAGAGTTCACCTCTGTGCAAAATCTCGATTAAGTATATCTTCAACCTTCTGTTCTCTGCTCAATCAGCTTCTGACGTCGCTGGCTGCGTAAACTATATGCATTATTTATAGCTGTCGTATGAATAAATATTATGTAATTAATAATTGCACTCCTTAGTCAAGACACAGTCTTTCTCGCATCTCACTTTGCGATTGAATGACAGATCAATAGTACTTCATTGACGAATTCACTGACATCGTTGCGATGCTCAGTACTTAACACATCTATTGATGTTGCTTGTGATTCTTGATATTTAAGAGATCTATTGACGTCATTTGTGATGCATGATATTCAAGAAACTCAATTCATGGCAAAAGTGATCATTGTAACAAGCTAATTTTAGTTCTGTTACAAACGTCAATTTTCAAGCATTTTACAGAATGAAACGCATATATAATACTAAAATAAGCCAACACGTGCATTGCACTTATCGAGACGTAATTGTATAAATAAAATTTTGCTGATGCATTTCCAGGAAGCTTCTTTCGGGATGGCATTTCGAATGTGACAATATTTTGGTGAAATTGTTTTTTGTAGCGCTCACATAAACATTCTGACTGCAAATCAATATCAAGGAATGTTCATTACAGGATTGTGGGTGAATGAATATAAGATTTAAATGATTTAAAAAAATTATTGGCGAGAATCACAAGTAAAATTTATTGAATACGCGAGAAAAGTATCTTACACGGAATGCGATAATAAAAACTCATTTCAATCATGCATCAAGATCGACAAAAGTCGATGCGGATAGGCAGAAAGCAACAATCGAATCTGATGCAAAAATGACACGAATTGAAGAGACTGCAATATGCATATAAATACTAATGATCAACTGAAGAAGGGCGACACTTGCGGTACACAATTATACAATCGAGAAGCATTAAAAACGACTCAATGATGCATTTACAAGCAGCAAATCAATTTCGGGATAACAGATCAGCAGAAATTAAATGAAGAATACTGATATCCATACAACATCGAATGAACGAAATACCATTCAGTACGATTCTAAAGGTTTTTATCAATATTGAAACCAATTCCCAAAATTATTCATATAGTTTGAGCAAAAATGACCGACAACTAGATGCAGAATCATTAGGAACAAAATCAACGATTGAAATAATACGAAGGCTACAAGACAAAAATGTTGAAAATTTTCACGCTGAATCAATTCACTGTTTCACTATCAATCACAAGTCACAGTGCCATTCAATTACGCAGCAAAACAATTCGGTTCAACATAACTGCTTTAACCAACTCATTTTGAAAACTAAAACCAAACTGCTCACAATTCATTCTTTGTTCGAATTTCATTTGATTGGCCACATGATAAATGTATTAAATAAAACCTTAAACAACGCCAGAAAACAAGCGTAAATGGTACGATTTGTAGTTGGTGTGCAATGAACTTAGACACAGAACTACACATTCAAAACTAAAATCTCAACGAAGTTAAAAGCAGTAACTAACTTCTCCAAATTTTACTTAAAAAATATTTGACGACTCCTCCCCACAATGGAGAGTTACAATAAATAATTTCAATGCTGAAACAGATGTCATCTTATTTGATAGCGAACTTCGTTAATTTCATTTTTTT